TTATCAAGGTAATTTAAATTTAATCAATTGAGTTGGCTAAATAAGGTTTCATTTTTACATATGAGTATGTTAAGATTGAACCTTAGAGGGGTTTCAATTTTTAGAATTACTTGACAACTTCGATCATTGGTTATGGGCAAGTTAGAAACACTCGTTCAAAATTGATTTTGGGTTTAAATCAGAAGTTTGAGTGATTTTTTTATTTATGAATTAATTAATGCAAATTTTTGGGATGTTTTTTGTATGAGCAATCTGGACAATATTTGGCTAGGAAATTATTTCACTTATAAACTTTAACTAATAAGGATGTTATGTTTAAATTTTCATGAAAATTGAATTTGATTTGAGTTTTCTGTTAAGTATTCAAGATTTTTAGTCTCAAAAAGGATTTTTGGCATAACTATGAAAATGGGACCTTTAAGTTTCTTGTAGTTTTTAAAAGCAATTTTGGACTAAATAAAAAATTATGAGATGATTATAATTGTAGGATTCATTTATTGTGTGTGCACACATATGCGTGATGGAGAATTTAATATGAGAATTGAGAATTTTAATTTAATTAGCCCTTGTATTATTAACTTTGTTGATCACTAATGAATATGATTATTTTGAATCAAACTTTGAGAAAGAAAAATTTAGAGTTATAATCAATTGATTATTGAAGGCTCAATTGGGTCAATAAGGCTAAAACATGATTATGAATTAGATATGATATGAAACCAAAAGGTTCAATTGGGATTTTAAGCTTATCTATTGGTTAACAATCTCTCAAGAAATTGCACGCTAATGATTATTTATATAACTCATGTAAACTTATTTTAATTACGATCTTAAGTACAGGGTTTTCAAGAATCGTGGTACTTTTATTAGCTTTGGTGACATGTGATCACTTTTCTGCTTATTATGCATGCTAGTGCGCACTTGTGAGTTATTTTTGAAATGCATTATTTGATAAGTATTATTGAAAAATTCATGATACGTTTGATGAAACTAGAACATGAGTTATATTATGAAAAATTCTATTTTGATATATGAAATTGCCTTATAGGAGTGATGCTTATGTGGTGAGAAATTGTTATGAAATGCTAATGCAATGATTGATTTTGAAATGAATATGTAATTATAGGGAGTTAAGTTGTGATTTTACATAAGAATGTTACGTTTTGTGTGTTAAGTATGATAAATTGAGAATTGAGATATGCTGCATTGATTAAGCATGTGATTGTTTGCATGACCATGTTAAGGGCGGGATGTCACAAGGCTAGTCTTTCTACTTGTGAACACTTAGACACTCTTTATTGGAAGATGATGACTAAGCCTGATTTGATGAAAAGAAGGATGCTTGGCTAAGTTAAGGAAATAAAAAACTTAAGAGTAAAGGATAGTTGAGAGAGCTTAGGGAATGTGAGAGTTGTATTATTTGAGAACTCAAAGATGAGAGGAACTCAAAGATGATTTAGGAGAGGTGAGGTATTTATAGACCTCCCCTTGATTCTAGAAATTTGCCACTTCCTTAATAGACGATAGAGATTAAATTGATTCTATGGCTATCGTTGATCTTCTAGATTTCTCTTATAGATATTTACAATAAATATTTAGATATTTTTCATGGAAGTATCTATAGACTATCTTAAGACATGTTTAGAATATTTTAGAACATCCTGGAGTATCCTAAAATATTCTAGACATCTTCACATTCTTCCATAAGCTTCTAAAACATTCTAAATTCTTCTAGATTGATCTAGATATTTTTAGATTGTTCTAGATGCTTCTAAAACATTTTGGAATGTTCTAGATTCCTCTTGAAACATCTCTTAAGGTTATTCGGGAGCCTTCTAGAAGGTTTTAGAGTATTTCGGACCACTTTAACCTCATAAAAAATCACATATCATGATAGGGAGCTCTCTTTAGGAGGAGTAGCGATAACAAATTTATGTAGCAAGCTCACCATTTAAAGCTCAATAGCTGGCCATTCATGCTCCACTTGTTCATTAAGGGACTACCTTACTATTTATTGAGGGACAATGCCTCAACTCATCTCCATCAATTTTATGAGGAAAAAAGTTTAAGGTTATGACACCCCACTAGTTCAATAAGGGGGAACCCATAATTCGGTTATATGTCTTATGAGCTTCGACCAACCCACACTACTTAATTGAAGAGCTTGTTAGAGCAACCAGTAACATGGATATTGACTTAGCATATGGTTTTAGCAAGAGGAAATAAGAAGGATATAAGAGCAGTTATGAGTCGTGTATCGTGATATGTATGATTGGTATATATTGATATATGATAACTGATTAAATAAATATTTTATAACTGTCCCACTTGACACCTCACGAGCATGTATTAGTGTGTATGGTAGGTAGGACTGTTAGTTACTAAGACATTGTCTCACCCCTTAATGCTTAGCAATTTATAGGTGAAACTTCATATAATGATTCACTAGGGAAGGTTCTAAAGGCTTAGTCCTGCATCGACTTGTATTGCCTCTTCTTTTGTTTGTGTGTTAAATTACTATATGTTGCCACATTCAGTGCCCATGTGCATATACTTTAATAATTTATTATGTACCTAATATTGTTGTTTACTTATTGTCGGGGTTACATGCTAGTGGTTGGTTATGTGAATTCACATGTGTTGAGACATTTGAGTACACTAATGTTTTGGATTGCGAAAGGTATTTTCATGAGAAGAGATTTGAGAATAAAAATTAGGCTTTATGGTTGCCATATAAATTGGCCTTCAATTACCCTAAGCCCATTTGTTATGAATACTTGAGATAATTATGATAGTTAAAAGTTGTGGGTTTGTTTTCTTTAACTATGTTAATGGGTCTATACATTTTCATATGATTTTGCTCGTGATTGATTGGAAAGAAATTTTTATCTATGGTAGGTCTTTAAAGGCTTAGTTAAACTCGTTTCTATTATAGTTAATTTTTTCAAATTTTGTGAAAAAATCTTTCCTACCATAAGAGGTTTTTGAATTATCTTTCTCTTTTCTACTATAGTAGTTAATTTAATGATTTTATGGTTAATTTATCAAGTATAATAATTGGTATGTTACATCACGTCTTTTGTGCAAGTTGGAACTTATTTATATTAAATTTCTTTAATTTTTAGGTCATTTTTTATAATTTTTTTGGTCAACTAACAATATTCCTCCAAAACATTGCATTATCCAAATTTAATATTTTCTGTATGTTGCAATATGTGTCCTGCAGCATTTAACCTCTAATTAGTTTCGTAAATGAGATTAATTAAATAGATTAATGTGGTGTGTAGTTACGGAGAACTAACAGATGTTTTGGGTTACAATTTCCTCTATAAGATTGAGTTCAAAATAAAGTCAAGTTACTCGAATGTTAAAAAGTGAAAAAAAATATAGGAAAATGGCTTTGTGTCATATGCCACAATACATAAGCCACCAGAAGGCAAGAGTGCCTTCTCTATACCACATTTCGTAACGCATTTCACAAATTTATGGAAATAAGAGCATATCAGAGTTTGAAATACAGGTTGAGAGGGAGAAAAAATAAAGAAAATGAGAGGAGTTCTACTATGGCAAGTATTAGGTCCCCTTTTGGGAGGCATTTGGAGCTTTTAAATGCTAAAGATAAGTTTTCTAAGTGTTTCTTTATTCCTCTCCCATTTTTCTTAAATATAAAATTAGGGTTTGTTAGAAAAGATGATTTTTGATTCATAGAGGTTATAGATTTGAACATATTGAGTTAAATAGAGTTAATGTGAGTTGTTTAAGCTATTTAAACTTAAGATTTACAACATTGTAAGTTTAAATAGTTAAGGGTAATAAATACCTGAAATTCCACCATAAATGAAATGTTAGGGTAATGAGTTGTTATTAATGGCTAGTTTGGAGTTTCATGAAGTTAATGTAAGTTAAAAAAAGCTATTAAACTTTATGAGTACCTTTGTATATGAAAAAATTGAATTGTTAGGGTTTGAAATGTTAAACTAAATAGTAAAAATTATTTAAAAAAAAGATATTGATGATTAATATTGTGATTAAATATAAAGTGAGCATTTTTCGTACATTTAAGTTTCGTGAAAGCTTTGATATCATAGTGCAATACAAAGGGGGAAAAAAGTAACATTGATGTACGCATTTTTCTTTTCCTTGTGGGTTCAATTCAACACAAATACGAATGTTGTGCCCCTCTAGTGTAAACATAGGGGAAGCAAAATCGATTGTTGTGCCTTGGAGTCACAAGTGAAACACACGTACGGCTAAAAGTCTACAACATAACAAAGCCAAACAATGACTGAAAATAAAAGAATGAATAGTACTTGAAGTTACTAGGATAAGTTGGTGGATTTTTTTTTTTTTCACATCATATCAAACTTGTGACCATCATACACATAAAACAGGCGGGACAAAAATTAACACCTTTGGCTTATATTTTCGTAATTACGTTCCTCTTTGTCCTTGAATCATTATGGTAGCTTTAAAGTATTTAACCAGCAAAATTAAATTTCCACTGGTATTGAAAATAGTAATCATTTATTTCATATGTTTGAGAAAGAGGTGAGTATGTGATTCCTCTTTGTCCTAAATCGCTCCCTACCCATGATGCAGGTGTTGGGCATGCTCGACGAGTACGGAGCATCATTGGCAACGAGTTCTTGGTCAATTAATTCTCGTCAGTTACTTGGAAGGTTAAAACTGAAAAGGGGCTTGGAACAAAAATAAGCTTTACTACACACGAAACTCCTGAGCTGTCAAATTGAGATCGAATTTGAAGATCTTTTTCTATGGCACTTCTATTGAGCTCGAAGCCACGAGGCTACTGCTCTCTTTTCCTTTTTATCCCTTTCCAAAAGGTAACCCGAACATTTCTATCGAGCGGACCCTGGAAAGGCATCACATTCTGTATACATACCCGTCGCTTTGGGTTCTCTGCATTAGTATCCACCTTCCTGCACACGCAATATTCTAACCAACCTTCTGCAATTAACAAATTGAAAGGAGGAACAAAATAAGAAAGAGGGGGAGGGGGTGATTATCCTGCAATACTCGTCGAATCATATAATCTTACTTGCATAGGGAAATTCAAACCAATGACCTAAAAAGGTTAAAAAGAAAAACTTGAAAGTATTTACCCTCTCACTTTATACATTCAACTGACCCTAAAAAAGAATCGGTGTTTTGGTTATGTCTGCTCTGAGGTTATCCTCTGCTCTCTGATCCATCTGTGTCTGAATATTCCTTTTGGGATTCAATTTCCATGCTCTCCCCTTGATTTCTTCGGCGCCTTCGGTCCTGAGAACATTCAAGGAAATGGATGCAATCAAAAGTCAGTCACAAACCATTGGCAATCGTTAAACTAATCATCCCTCAAGCATGAATCAGATATTTATCTATTCAGTCGTGATTTTGATCATAAACTTAAAACATGATGAAAGCCAAATAAGAGCAAACCGGGGCCAGAATGACTAGGCAAATAAGAAATGCCAAGAAAACAGAATATAGTGGAGTGAAAGCGAACCTCTCTAGCCAAGGGGTACTCATGGGACTCCAGCATCCGTACAACTTGGCCCATCTTGGGTCTCTTCTCGGAATCAGGATCCACACATCTCAGGGCAGTCAAGAGGGCCCGTTTTAAAGCTCTGGTGGAGGGCCTCACCTCAATATATGGGTCAACCACTTCTTCTGATCGCCTGCTTCCAACCATCATCTTGAGCCAATCAACCAGATTAACCTGAAAGCATTTCAGTTTTAGAGTAAACGCCAGTCAAAACTCATGATCAGAAGTTGTAACTGATTAGCCAAGTCAAAAGTTTACTAAGACCAAGGCATTTGTTGAATTGATGGTGTAGCCTGTGATGCAAATATCACGGCTTTTAATGTTTTAGCTATTTCTTTTAACCACATTGACCCAACAACTTCTTGCTTTGCTTAGAGTGCCGGAGTAAATAATTGCAGATATACATCAGTTATCCACCAAACTAGCAAAACAGAACAGCACCAGCTTTGACTTCATATCAGCAGTGAAAGGTACAAATATAGGTCCATGAAACAGATGAGTAAAACTAGGTTCAACGAATCTAACAATAATTCAGGCCAATATTGTTCTCAAGTTGGCTCGCAAAAAGTGAAATCTCTCAAAAAAGTTGCCACCCAATTAATAGCAAGCATGAAACAATAATTCACATAGAATATGAACGCTTCGGATTCTGTCAGTATTTGAGTCCACACGCACATTGTGATCATGCTTCTTTGATCATCAAAGATGTACAAGACATGAGCTGTTCAAGATCACTGTTAACTAAAAGATCTAACTCACACCAAGGCCCCTTCATGGTTACAAGGTTAAAACATGTCAAACAAACACAGCTAATTCCAGCTACACTTTTTCCCTGAGAAGAAGAAATTTACTCACTTCATGAGTTGGTCGACCATAGTCAACTGGATCTCTTCCTGTGATTGCTTCCAAGAGCATAACACCGAAGCTATAAACATCACTCTTTTCATTTAGAAGACCAGTATTTGCATATTCAGGTGCCACATATCTGTAAAAATTTTAGGGGCAAGAAAGAAAGAATAAATATAAGCCGAAAAAAAAAAAAGTTACCAAAAGTTTAACAACATTGAGCATGGGAAAAAGATGATCTAGAGGGCAGGAAACAGATATACTACCCAAATGTTCCCATAACTCGTGTTGTGACATGGCTCTTCCCAGCACCCAGCAGTTTGGCCAAGCCAAAATCAGAAACCTTGGCATTAAAATCATCATCGACTAATATGTTGCTTGACTTGATATCCCGGTGCACCACCTTTGGCTCAATGGCTTCATGCAAATATGCAAGACTGAAAATTGGACATCACATTAGATGAGAACACAAAGAGCTTTAATGAAACTTAAATTCAGAGACTCACGCTTTGGCCGTGCCAAGGAGGATCTTCATTCGTGCTTCCCATGTAAGATATCCATGATGACGCATAGCTCCATGGAGCCATTGCTCCAAGTTTCCATTATTGACATACTCATAGACTAGCATCCTGAAAAATCACCACATATTATTCAAACTACTTTTTAGTGAAAGTACGATGGGCCTCACCATCAGGTCATAGGCTAACAGAAACGCTTAGTCATATGTATATTTCCATCACCTCTAATTAGTTGGGCTGCAGTAACACCACGCCGTTAAGGACATTATTTGCAATGATATATTTTGAGATTACGATGTAATTGAAATTTAACATACCTGTGCGTCCCCTCAATGCAGTAGCCCAAAAGGCGAACCAAATTCTTATGTCGTACATGGCCAATAGCTTCAACTTCCACTCTAAATTCTTTCTCTGCTTGACCGCTGCTAAAGAAGCTTAGGAGTTAAAACCTCAGCAGTACTCAGGAACAAGTTCTAATAGTTGAGAACAAATTTAAATTTGATGTCTTAAATGTTGTAACGAAACTCACATGTTATTGAGTATCTTTTTAATTGCCACTGGACTCCCATTGATCAGCTGTCCCCGATATACAACTCCATAGCCACCCTCACCAATCACATTCTCTTTGGAAAAACGATTCGTAGCAATTTCAAGATCCCTCAATGTAAACCAGTGGCCCCAACCCAAGTGAGAGAATTCTGGGAGACCAGACAGAGGGGAAGGAGCTGTTATAGGGTATGAAGAAGAGTGCTTATACACTGTAAGAGTGCCAGAGCTACCTTCCTCTACTGACTGTGATCCACCTCCATCTATCTCCAAGTGATTGAATGAATCGGAAAAACTGCTATTATCCCCATTTTTCATCTTCCCCACGCCCAAATGGACCATAACTTTGTCTGATTCTCTGTCACTGGATTTATCATGTATTGTGAGAAGAATTCCATCACGAGGAGCAAATCCATTTGCTGGTACGTGCTTAACCCTCACTTCCTTAATATCCTTCGAGACAGTTGGTATTTGACTAAGGGGAATCCTATCCTTGGCTTTTCTTGATTTCTTCCGCGAAGTAAGGCAAACAGAGAGCACGAGTATAACTACTATAAACAATCCAACAGCAATTCCAGTTATTTCCCAAGCTTTAAGTCCAAAAAGTGATGTTTTCTTGGATAATTCAGCATTAAGATCAGCGCCCATTTTCTAGGAGCCTGGTGCCTGCCTATACATTCAAACACACACAGATGACCATGAAGCAGAATACCATATTGAAAATCATATACACCAATTCATCACATGACCGCAGACCGCTCACGTTCATCAAACATTTTACTCTTCATTGACAATTACAAAAGCAACGCCGGAATCATTCCCTCCCACCCCTGGGTAAAACACTGTGTGAACAAGCATCAAAAGAAAGCGTGCTGCAACCAGGCAAAACATCAAAGGACAGACCAAACAAAAGTAAAGCAGGCCAGGAACCGCAGACACGAGATGTAAATTCCATAGAAACTATTCACGAACATGTTGAAAGATCGTGAAGGAAGGAGCAAACAGGAGAGTCGCCGCTTTAAACATCATACAAGAAACAGGTATAACCCCGTACGAGACGAATAAAGAAAACATCAACAATGAAAAGTACACTGAATTCAGAAGCTGCTCGCGGTGACGGTCTTACCTATGAATACCCAATTCACGAGGACATCCCTGAAAACCCAGATCTCTGAAATTGTTAGTTCATAGGTTAAACCCGGAACATAGATTAAAAGCAACCAATCAACAAAATAGACCCCACTCGTGCAAAAAGGAAGGAAGCCGAGTCAACAGAGTTGTCAAAAAAAAAGAAGAAGCAATTATATAGAGAGGGTGGCTTCTGGGTCATCTCATCAGGGGGGTTCGGGCAATGTGGGTGTAAATCTAAGACGGGTAGGAGCTACCGGACACCCTGTAAGCTTCTTCAAAAAACCAAATCCGACAGAGTGGGGCGCTCGTTGCTTCAGGGGCTGGAGGGAGAAAGAATTGCCAGTGATGGTGGAGGCGATGATAAGAAGTGATGGAGCATTCACTATTCAGTGGTAGGTGTTGCGTTTAGATGCCTTCCAAGTTTTTCTTTTTTGGATAAACTACATGCCTTCCAGGTTCCCACGCGTCCTAGCACATACAGTAAAAGAGAAGCATTGCTGATTGGATTGTGTTGCGGACATGACTGATAGGATTGTGTTGCGGACATGACTGATTGTATCGGTAATTACTTTTTTTTTTTTTGGGGGGCCTGATTATCGGTAAATAATTCAACTACCTAGGTTTTCCATTTTTCCTTTTTTAATTATTATCCACCTCCTCGACTGGGAAATAAGCCGTGCTTCATTGTTCATTCTATAATTGCAGTTACGATGTCATGATGTATCCGCATGTGGTCAATTATATATTGGATTGTAACCTTTGACCCTCTTAATTATGATGACATAATGGCCATAGTGATTTTGAGCAGTTGCCCCTGGTCACTGGTAAGGGCTAAGGATATAATTATACAAGAACTACAAATGTTGAATAAAGTTATTCCTAATCGTTCTTTGCTGCTGGTTGAGTCTTCACTGATTATTATTTTTTTGGTTGGGAAGGGGATAATAGCAAAGTAGATATGCCTCTATCAAATTCATTCAATGATCAATTACCAATATAAAGAGCCGGAGCTTCAGCCTTTTCATCTACTCTGTGTTATGTTCCCGGTTAAAGACCATTAGAGTATGAGTAGTGCGCTTTCATTATGCTATTCATTATTTTGTGAAAAGTGTCAACAGTCAACAGCGGGATTGATTAAGAGAGAGAATCCGTTACAGACTGATTAGTAAATCAATGATTAATACCTCGAGAGAGGTTTTCATTTTCTTACCGAGCGTTTTATTTATTAGTGGATTAATTTTTTTATCATTTAGCAGAAAAACTGGAGCTATTTAGTTGTAAAGGAGCGAAAATAAAAGAAACATAAAATAATCAAAATATAAAAGAGGATATATGAATTATCAAAAGAAGTGTAATTTAATTCATGGAATTAAAAGCCATGATTCATGATATTTGTGAAATGTGGTAATTCTCACATTTATGATATATAATATCAAATTTTATTATACTTATCATGTGAAAAAGAGATTTAATTCATTTTTAATTTGATTTTCTTAATCTATTACATTAAAAAAAAAAGCAAATGGGTCTAAATAACATTCTAAAGGAAACTATTAAGTGACTCCGGAGCAATGCAATGGAATCCAGGGTAAAAGACAGAGCTCTTTTAGCCATCATACACGCAAATGGGATTATTGCTTTTCTGGACGTGGAAACAACGACTTAACGATTAACTTGTACTGAGTCGATAATTCATACTCATAGCATCCACTACTTTTAATATAATTAATAATTAAATGTATTAGCTAGAGAGCCACACAGGCCCGCAAAGATGGTGAGTTCTGGAAATTTGAATTGAGAGATGAGAATGGCGTGGGTGAGGGATGCAAAGAGCCGCCCCTCCAATTATTGGGACCTCTCCTACGCCGCCCATCCTTGCAATTTCTTCGTACGAACACTAAGAAATATTTATGTCATTGTACAATGCCTTTTATATTCTCCTGCATTATTGACATTTTAGCTATATGTATTTATCGAGAGGGGAGGGATCATAGGATACCAAAACAAAATGGCCACACACATATATGTAGAGCTGACAAGTCATATGGCCCAATCATTTCCATATTCAATAGCAGGTTATTCGAAAGGAAGGGCGGAAGCTGCTAATTATTAGATGTTCAGGCGAAATGGGCATGCCTCACGAGGCCTAGCTGGCTTAGTCTCACTTCCCAAAAAACAAAAACAAAAAGGAACGAGGGACCACCCATTCTAGATTTCTAGATGCGCGTCTCCGATGCGTTGTATAATTAATTATCGCTCTCCTCTTTCTTAATGATTTCATGTTATTTCTGATTAACTCGGCACTAGATTCTCTAACCATGGGATTTCATTTTAGCCGCGTGTGCGTGAATGCCTTACTCACTGTACAATAAACAAATTGTTGGACTAGGGTACATTTTTTTGCTCGAACGCTTTTTGAGGAACGCTGCCCTTCTATATTGATAAATGAAGTAAATTTTTTCTGAGCCATTTTTTTTTTATGAAACAAAAATCCTCTTTTATCAATCAGCCGTCAACTTTGCTGTTTTTTTGCCGATGTAACATATGTGTGAGGGCCACTTACAATGACACATGAGATTCTAACAATATTTTTTTAATATTAATTTATCTTTAAATTCTTTCTCGATAATCATTGGACACCCTAAAGCTTTTTTTTTTAAGATTGTTAGGTACATTAAAATCTTACAAAAATAAAATTTAATAAATATTACTAAAATATTAAATATTTTCATATTTAATAGTTTAAATATTATTATTTATTAATCCAAAATTTATAAATTATTTTTAAATATTTTATAAATATTCTCTACGACAATTCCCGTATTGTTATTATGCCTTTCGTATGAGTGGAAACTTACCTATATTTTTAATGTTAGTTAAATTCCTTAAATTTTTATGTCATTGTCTTTAAATCTTTTTTTTTGTTAACTAACAATCTTTTTTTAAAATATTACACCATTTAAATTTAATATTCTCCATATATTATAGTGTCAGGGGTAAAATCAGAAATATGCATGATAGAAAATGACCAACAATATGCCAACAAAAATGCTTATTTGAAAGATATTGTCTATTCCATTAATGTGCCACAAAAATTGCTACTTAACAAGAGAATAATACAAAGATGAGGAGAAAAAAATCCTTCTATAAATTTGGAGGTTCATTCCTTTTATTTTTAATATACGATTATAAAATATCAAAAATATTAAATTAAATGGTGTAATATTTTGAAGGAAGACTACTAGTTAATTAAAAAAATTAAAGAGAATGGCCTAAAAAATTTTAAGGAATTCAATCAATATTAAAAGTATGATTGATATATAAAAATATACAAGTTATCTATAAATTTATGAAAAATTAATTTAAACTATTGACATTTAAAAATAATTTATAAATTTGAATGAAAATTTATAAATAATAATATTTAAATTATTAAATATTTAATATTTAAATAATATTTATTAAATTTTATTTTAATAAGATTTTAAGGTGCTCAATACTATTAAAAAAGACTTTAAAATGTCTAACATTTTTAGAAAAAGAATTCAGGGCAAATTAGTATCATAAGACATGATTAAAGTCTCACTTGTCATGGTGCGTAGACCCCGCACACATGCCATGTCAACAAAAAATAAAAAAATAAATTATTCTACTTATTAGTACAGGTATCCAACATTCCTTGAAAAAAAAAACAAAAGATAAAAATACATCTTAATCCCAAATTGTTTTCTCACACGTGTTCAACGTACAGCACCATATGAAAATGCAGGTTGATTTTGCCCCAAGTTCATTCATGGCTCTCTCATCAACTTTAAGCCTCCAACAAAAAATTTATACTCTCTCCAAGTTTATTTATAAATTATTTTTAATTATTTTATCAAGACCAATGAAAAATAATTGAATTACTGATCTTATACAAAAATAAAATAAAAAATCTCAACTTACCCTTATTAAATACATTATCCTTAAAAATAATTTCTCTTTCATGTAATCTTTTACTCTCTACTTATCAAAAATTGTGAAAGAATGAAAAAAAACAATTAATAAGAAAGGCAATAAATTCAACCTAAAAGGCAACTTATACATTGAATAGGAATGAATAATCTTCCTATATTATAAACATTTATGACTTGGGGGAGGGGGTGTTGCTCCCCCAACTTTAATATTTTTTATAACTATACTCCTTTCGTTTAAAAATATAAGATATTTTTAAAAAATTGAATATTTAAAAATATAAAGTATTTTTAGTCTATTGAGGTGTAATCATTATCTTTTTTAAAAAGTGTCTGATAATGACTTTATATTTATTATAAAATGTTTAATGAGGGTGAATATGAAAAAATAATGGTTAGTTTAAAAGTAGGCAACAACTTTATTGAAAGGTGAGATTCAGTTAAAAATGCCTTACATTTTTAAATAAAGAGTATATTTTTTACTTGTAAAAAAAAATTCTAGAAATTTTTATCCCTTCCCCAACCCCACCCTTTTCTTGTTTTTCAACTCTTGCCTCCCATACATGTAATCTTAGATTCATCCATATTTATAAAAACACATCAAAGCATGGTTGATCTACAATATTTTGAATAGTGCTTTACATATTATCTTTTTTTTTAAGTTTTGAATGATGATGTGGGACCCATATTAAAAGAAGTAGATGTGGGCCTATAGTAAAATGCATGGAGAGAGAATATTTAATAAAATGATAAATATGATTTTATCAAAAATTGATAAATATGAAATTTGTTATAAAATTATAAAATTAATTTTAAAAATGTGAATAAAAAATTTATATTTTGAAAAATTACATGAGATTTGTGATAAAAATAATAGATATAGGATATATATACTAGAAAATGATGGTGGATATAATCATACTTGTAAAAATAATAGGCATTGGTATGCAACGAAATTACAAATTTAATTTAAATGAAAGGTAAGAAAAAGCATTTAATTGACTACATTTGTAACAGGCTAAAATTTCATTCTTATTTTTTTTCAAATACAACTAAATAATTAACCTTTAACCGTTAATACTTATCATAGTAAAAAAGTGTCTACCATGATAATAAAGAGTAAATCATATTTTTCAAAACTCTACCATAATAGAAAGGGGTTAGTGTGGTAATTAAAAATAAAAATAATGTTTATAAAGTTTACCATAGTAAAAAGTTTTTTATGATAAAATATTTTTTTTAAAATGAACCATCATTATAGAAAAGGTTTAAAGATAGCAAAATAACCCTACCATAGTAATTTAGAAACCAATTTTGTTACCTAACTAAAAAAAAATGAAAAATAATATTAAAGAAAGTAAACCTAATGGGATCTCATTGAAATTCAACATGCAAGGTCTATCAATTTCTTTAAAAATCATAAACAAGCATGAAGCATGATAATTTAATCCCAAACATTATAATGAACACAAATAATAGTCAATAAAGTGACTAAAGTGTGCACCCTTAACAAGCACATA